CGAACCCTGGGCTTGACCTGCCTCACGAAAGGCTCCGCCAGCTCCCTGATTGGCCTGGCCTGGCCCCTGGACTCCTGGACCACCCCAATAGGGGGGAGGAGGAGGCTGAGGAGGAGGGCCCTCAAGGCCCAGAGGAGGAGCAGGAGGAGGAGGAGGCGAAGTCTCCTCGGGATCCCCTGAGGCCTTCTTGGCGTCCAGCCGCGGGCACGCCACCTTGCCCTCCGAGGCCTCCGAGGGGTCCCTGGGGCGCTTGGTCCTAAGGGGCTCAGGCTCTTTGGGGGCTGACGGGGGCTGCGGGTCCACAATCCTAGGCAGAGGGAGATCAACTAAACAAGCCTGCGCCATCATTCGCCTCTTACCAGCGGCGGATCGCGCGAAGCGCGGACAATTAGCGCATTTCCAGCCACACAGCGCGCGCTCAGGTGCATGGCGCCTCTGGTGGCTCAGGAGCGGCGCGGGAGGCCGCCGCTCTCGCCGTGGACGACCCCGTCGGAGTCGCTGCTGCCGTCGAGCTCGCCTCGAGACCGTCGGCACCCTGTCGGGCCTCGTCTCGACCAGCTCCTGCGCGTTGCCGATCCAGGCCGCGATCTGGCGGACTCGGTCCAGGAGCTCCCGACGCCGAGCACGCGCCGCTGGTGGGATGTCGTGCTTGGCGAGCCCCTTCTTCGCCGCCACGTCGGCATAGTCATTGCCCTTCTTGCCATGGTGATGCCTGCTGTCCTCCTGTGTCTGGTGGCTCTTGACGTACTCGATGGTGAGGATGTCGCTGATGCCTCCATGATCCTCGAGCGCGTGCCAGAGCAGTCGCCACAAGTCGACGTGAGCCCGTCGAGGATGCAGGCACCACTGCTTGCCCTGGTTGACACCGTCGATCGTCATCATACAGTCGGTGTGTATGTGGAGGGGGAGGGTGCCACTCCTGGGCGTCATGATGATGGCGTAGAGCTCGGCTCTGGGCACCGACTGCTGAGCTCCTGGGAGAGGACCGAACGCTAAGCCTTTCAATCGTTGGTCGTCCATGAGGGCCAGTCCCCAGCCCGCTCGAGCACCTTCAGGCCACCCAATGTGCGTGCGACCTGCTCCGTCGGTGCACACCTCGCCCGTGATCTGATGAAGCTGGCCGCCGTAGGCGTAGTACCAGATCTCCTCGCTAACTGGTGGAGGCACAACTGGGAGCTGATCTCGATCAAGCATGGCTCGCGTGAAGAGCATGTCGTTCTCAGGAGCCCGGCGCGCCTCATCAATGATTTCTTGATCCACTGCGAGCGCACGCTCCTCAGCCAAGTTGGGGCAGAACCATCGTCGATGATGAAGCGTGCCCTTGCAGTCCTGGCAATGCATGCACTCCTCCGTGTCCGAGAAGCCGTACTTGTGCAATCTCGCTTGTGACCGTTGGCCGCCGATGATGGTGCTGCGGAGCGCTGCGCGCGCTCGTACTGAAAGTCTCCACTTGCGAGCTTGATCACGAGTAGTGAGCAGAAGCTGGAGAGGGGCAAGCCAGTGCCCACATGCCTTTCGTGCAGGAGCCTCCGTCTCAGGTGCGCGGTCAGCTCGCGAGGCCCACCCTTCCCACTTATAGTTGACGAAAGACCTCCACGCCAGAGCACGTACCCAATCAGGTGGATCAACTCTGAGATCAAGCTGGACGCCCTGGGCTGTGGTCCACTGGAAAGCGGACTGAGCTCTCCAACCCAGTTGGTGGAGGACATTCCAAACCGCACCTGCAGGCCCCGCTACATCTTGCCACGAAGGAACTGGGCCCAGTCGGTGTCGCTGCTGCTGAAAAGCTTGATTCATAACTTCCCAAGGTAGAGCTTTGTCCGACGCCATTTGCGCCCAGGTGTAGACTGGTTCTGCCACCGCGAATATATCAGGGTGTTGGTCTCGCCTCTGCTCCAACTGAGAAGCCAACCGCGATGAGGTCCCCGTCGGTGTTTTATGCCAGCCCACACGCACCATCTTGGTCATGGAGCGCACGATGGAGCGAGATGCTCCGATCACCTGCACTCCGTAGAGGATCGCTGGACCAATCGATGGCTGAGCTATGGCGCGACCGATCCTTGCCATGGCGGCCATGCGTTTGAACCTGGGAAGACGTCGCTTGAGCTTGGTCATGCGATACCTGATAGCCGTGTACTGAACCTTGACTCCATCTCTGGCCTCCATGCCCAAGATCTCGAGCACCGTGCAGGAGGGGAGGAGGAGGGGGACGAGGAAGAGGAGGAGGAGGAGGAGGAGGAGGAGGAGGAGGAGGAGGAGGAGGAGGAGGGGGACGAGGAGGAGGGGGACGAGGAGGACGGGTCGGTCCGCGCGCTGGTGTAAAACGCGCGCGCGCGGCGGTGCACCGCCTGGCGGTGGGCCGCCTGTTGTAAAAAATCACGTTCGCGCGGCGGTAGCCCGCCTGGCGGCATCCCGCCTGGGGAAAAGGAGGGGCGGAGAGGAGGGGGGCGGGAGCGGGGCCTCGCAGGCTGCACGGATCGATGGCGACGCCGACGCGTTTTTGAAAGCGCCCCCGCCCCCCATTTTCCATACGAAAAACCAGACTTATCGGACTTATAAATTAGACATAAGTTACTTATAAGTAAGATACAAGTCAACTAGTTTTGATGAAGATGCTAGATATAAGTAAGAAGATGTAACATACATGCAGCATGTAACATATGTCAACGCCATCACCAAAGGGGGGGGGGTCGAACCGGTAATGACCCCCCCCCTTTTCATGATGAACTGGGGGGGGGAGGGGTTCGAACCGGTAGTGACCCCCCCGGTTTTCCGGGAGGGGGGGGGGGGGGGAGGGGTTCGAACCGGTAGTGACCCCCCCGGTTTTCCGCCAACAGCGGTAGAACACGCTCTTTCCGGTATGCTAACATTGACGCGCGTTCGCTCCGGTGCACCATGCCGGCCCCTACCCACATAACCGGAAAGTCATGGGCGAAACGCAAGCGCACCAAACCAGCTGGCCCCCCGCTCCTGCTCCTCCTGTCTGACAGATTGCCATCACCACCTGGCTTGCGAGTCAGACTGGCGGCAACCATGCCAACGGTGCTCCGAGTCCCCGGCAGCAGCGAGATGGGGGCGAACTGCTGAAACACGCCCTCGCCGTGGTGCTTGCCCAGGATGGTGAGCGCAGCCTCTGCCAGCGAGAGAGGACGAGGTGGAGCGGGAAGGAGGATGAAGACGAGGACAGGGCGCGGCGTCGCCGGGATGGCACCCCGCATCGCTGCTGCCGCCGGACGTCTCGGGCGCTTGCGGCGACGGGCCGCCCTCGTCGGCCCAACTCCGACAGCTCGGCAAAGGATCGCCGGCATCGTGCAGGCGGGCCTCCGATCGTGGAGTGGGCAGTGGGCCTCCGAGCTGGATGGCCATCGTTGCACGCCCAGTGGCTCATCACAGTCCAACGCGCTCATGTGTGTTTTGTTCGCTCGGGGAGCACCCGTCCCGACTTGTGACGACTCGCTTCCCGAAGCCACTTCGTTACAACAAAATCCAAACACGCTGTGTATAACATGCCACTCCAATTTTGGTCATCGGCTACTTCTTCGGGATCGTTTCGCAGGGTGCCGCGTTCGTACACATGGTCCAGCATGCATACATCGCATGCAGCCCGAGGATGAACACAGCATGCGAGGTTACTTGTGCTCCCTTTTTTGGCTATGGGTTGATGTTTCTGGCCTGGGAACAATGGGCAGCACTGCAAGCGCTCCCCGTTCAGGACTGCGAGGAGGCGCGTCCTCACAAGCGTTCGACCTTCCGAGCGCGTAGGTAGAAAACAGCTGGCCCAGCCGAGAACATTGGGAGGACCTTGGGAAGTTTATGGTTTGCGATTGTGTGCGTTCTAGTTCCACATGTGGGTCTTCCCCACAACCGCAAACGCTCTCTGCCTACCTCCTGTAACTTTGGGCTACCATCGCTCAGCTTGTAGTATTAGATGATTTTGATTCCGACTCATCCCTCAGCGTCCGACCTATCGGCCGAGGTGGAAGAGGAGGAGGAATACGAGGATGAACCCCTCATCAGAACCCCAGTCTCGGAACAGACGCTGACAAGGGTAGGCAAGGATCTACTGACCCAATTCAATCCAAACCCGAGTCAGTCGGTCTTTTCAGGATCCAGTAAGATCCTACAAGATCCTGCGCGCAAGCCCAGGTCGAAGCAACCCTGGCTCTGCAGGATCCTGCAAAATCCGGTGCTCTGACTGAACCCCCGTCTGCATTGACCCCAGTCCCTTGAGCCCCGAGGTAGGTCGTCAGCGCGTCAGTCCTCCTGACCCTGCTCCCCCCCCCATTTCCCTTACCCCTCATCCTCGCAGAGCTGGGAGAGGGGGAGGAAGAGGGGCAGGAGAGCGACGATCAAAAACGGATCTCTCCCTTACGCGAGATGACATACTTGGCGACCTTACGCGGTGCTACATTGGAAATGAGGGCGCTTCCGCGCCACCTTACGCGAGCAGGCAGCTGACGCGCCAATCTCGGCGCAATCGACCCCCCGTTTCTGCGTCGCTCACGAGGAGAGAAGAAGAGACAGGATGATGAGGAGCAGGAGGATAAGTAGCGCACACGGGCACGGCAGCTTTGAAGTCGGAGCGTCACCCTTTGGCAAGTGCAGCTCCAGCCTTCCGCGCGAGGTACCGCTCACGGGCGCCTCCGACTTTCGCCTCCCTGGCCTGCGCTTTCTCGCCCTCGTTTTCGTGCGCTGCGCCGGCGTCCTGCTTCTTCTCCTGCCAGTCGCCCACCAGCCTCTTGAGGTTTACCTCGGACAGCTTCGGCAGCAGGGGCTTCAGCCACTGGGCCTCCACCGCCGACACGTTGCGCATTGTCACGTTGGTGATGGTCAGAAGAAGAAAAAACATAAGAATAACCGTTCGGAGGTCCGCGCGGATTTCTTGGATCTGCTCTGGGGCCCCCTGGCGGCGCCACCAGCGCCGCCCCTGGCGCGCTCCGCGCGCCAGGGAGGGGGATCCGGCGCCGATCCAAGAAATCCGCGCGGAGCTCCGAAAGATTCTAATTACGCAAATTGTTCTTCTTCGAGATGGTGTTGCCGACGAGCTCCGTGAAGAGAAGCCACTCGCAGGCGCACCCGTCCAGGGCGCTGCCGCCGTCGAGCTTCACCAGCACGTTCTCTCCTACGACCAGCCACCCTCCGCCGGCGCTGCACATCCTCGCGGTCTGCATGTAAAAGCCCGCGCACATCGCCTCGAGAATCTCCGTCTCGCCCCCGCGACGGCCGTCACGCATCGTCACGCCCGCCTTCCTGAGCTGGTCGGCAAGCTGCGAGCGGATGTCCGCCGCCTGGCGCAGGGCGCGAAAGTGCAGGAATCTGCTCTTGCACCACTCGGGACTTCTGCCGTTCTGCTGCCACTGGTTGTAAACGTTGATTAGGGTGGTGTGGTCGCCAGCGGGATGGGCGAAGCGTCTCCACTCGTCCTCTGCGTCCTTGACCTGGTCCTCGTTTCTCCGGGAGGGCCGGAACCACACCCCCTCGGCGCTGAGCATCGAAACCAGCGTCAGGGCATCATCAGCGCATCCCAGCTCGTTCGCAGCGATCAACACTCTGGCGAACTGCGGCTCCAGCGGAAATTGCGCCATTTGTTTGCCCAGGTCGGTGAGCTTCCCATCGGCGTCGAGGGCACCAAGCAAGAACAGGAGGCGGAGGGACTTTACCAGTCGCGTCTTGTCGGGCGGCTCCATGAAGTCGAAAGTCACGATCTGGTCGATACCCATGGCCTTCATCTGCAGCGTCACGGACGCCAGATTGGATCGCAAGATCTCTGGCGTGGTGATCTTGGGGAAGCTCCTCTTGAACGACTCCTCCGAGTACAGCCGGAAACACTTCCCCTCCTGCGTCCGCCCGGCCCTTCCTGCCCGCTGCTTCGCCTGGACCTGCGACACCTCCGTCACAAGCAGGGACTCCATGCCTGTCTTGGGATTAAAATTCTTCTGCTTGCAGTAACCGCAATCGACGACGAAACCCACGTCGGCCACCGTTAAAGACGTCTCGGCGATGTTCGTGCTGAATATCAGCTTCCGGCATCCATCCGGCACCGTCTCAAAGACATTCCTCTGGTCGGTGGACTGCATCATGCCATAGAGCGGGACGATCAGGCAATCGGATACCTCCTGTGCATAGTCCACCATATCCGCTCCCCCCATCGAGCGGCACTCGCAGGATGAGGAGCAGCAGGATGCGAAGGAGTAGCAATAGGAGGAGCAGGCGGAGGAGAAGCACCAGCACGAGGAGCAGGAGGAGCAGCAGCAGGAGCAACAGCAGTCGCAGCAGCAGCAGCAGCAGCAGCAGCAGCAGCAGCAGCAGCAGCAGCAGCAGTATTAGCTCCTTCCCAGCGTCAAGCATGCTCTGCATCTTGGCGTTGGACATGGACACGGCTTGCTCGCACTCCTCCATCCCCGTGAGGAACACCAGGATGTGGCCAGCACCCTCGCGCACGTGGAGATTCAGCGCGACGTTCACGGCAGCCTCCACGCGCTGCTGCCTGGAGACTGGGTGGTAGTGCAATTCTATGTTGAACAGCCGCCCAGGCACCTCCAGCACGGGGCAACTATTAAAATAGGTCGAGAAGGCACCCGTGTCCAGCGTTGCGGACGTGACTAGTACCCTCAGCTGACCGGCGCGCTTCGCCACCGCCCGCTTCATCAGGGCGAAGAGCACGTCTGTGCCCAAGCTACGCTCGTGGGCCTCGTCCAGGACGACAACGTCGTACAGCGAGAGGTCGGGGTCCCCGAGGCACTCCCGCAGCAAGCAGCCGTCGGTCATGTACCTCAGGTGCGTGTTGTCGTCGGAGCAGTCCTCGAAGCGGATCGTGTAGCCGACCTCCGCGCCCAGCTTCACGCCCCGCTCCTGCGCCACCCGCCTCGCCATGGCAACGGCCGCCACCCGCCGGGGCTGCGTCACCGCCACCCGCGGCCTGCGCTTGCTGGCGAAGCACTCCCTGAAGCTCTCGGAGTCGAGCAGGTACTGCGGGATCTGAGTGGTCTTCCCACTGCCCGTCTCGCCGACCACCACGATGATGTGGTTCTGCGTGATCAGCTCCAGTATTCTATCCTCCGGGTGGCAAGATCTGACTCGCGCCCCCACTGCCGAGCCCGCACCCAACACCCGCGCTCATCCGTGCGCAGTCCGCCTGGTGTTCGGTTCGGTGCGGTTTGGCCCCGGGGCCCTCTGAAGGCCTCGTCAACCTCCCCTCCAGGACCAGAGCAAGGAGAGGCGACACCACTCACTGTTCTTGCGAGGATCCAGGTGCGGCCCTCCTGGTGGACTGACCCTTCCGATTCAAGGCGTCCCGCTCGAGACGTGTCTGCAGAGGCCCTGGGACACATAAATAAATAGACACAAATAAAAGGATCCCCCGTATTTTCCCATATGTTCTATGGTTTTGTCTTCCCCCCCACCTCCCATATTTTCCCATATTTTCTGGGGAATCGACGATTAATTGTGTCTGTGTGTTTTTCCCCTCCTGAGTGTCTACTCTCCAGCCTCTCCCAGCTCGGGGAAGCATCGTAGACCTCCTCACTGGAGGCGGTGCGAGCCTTCGAACTCTCCACATGGGCACGATGGCTACAATTGAAGGGGCCCCAGGACACACAAATAAATACACACAAATAAAAAGATGCCCCATATTTTCCTATATTTTCTGGGTTGCTGTCTTCTCCCCCGCTTCCCATATTTTCATGGGAATCGAGGACTAATTGTGTCTGTGTGTTTTCCCTCTCCTGAAAAATGCCCATCTAACGTCCGCTGGTGGGCAGGCGCCGTCTAACGTCCGCACCCGTCCCACGGGAACGGCGCGAAGGTTTGGTCAGGGAGGGCGGTTCCGACGGCTGCTGGGGCGCCTCGGGTCGAGCTGGGGGGGGGAGGGGGGGGGGGGGGGGGGCCAGAGGGCGGGCTGAGGGGGAGGGGGGGGGGCAGATCTGGCGCCGCGGGCCTCGCCCAGCGAACCCCTCTGGCGGCCCGCGGACCTCGACGGGCAGCGCCACCCGCGTCCTTGAAGCCGGCCACAGGCAGGTCCGCCGGCGCCGCCACCCTGCCCACGTCGCGCTGCTCCACCCGGCCGCGGCGCGCCGCCGCCGGGCGGGCCCCGGGGGGGCTGCGGCTGCGGGCGCGGGAGCCGGAGGCGCTGCGGGCCCTCCGCCGCGCGGCCGGCCCGCTGCGCGAGCGGCTCCTCCGCGAGCGGCTCCTCCTCCCGCGGGGTTCGCTGCGGCTGGGCGGGCGCCTCTTCGCGGGCGAGGCCCCGCGGGGCTCGCTGCGGCGGGGCGGCGGGCGCCTCTTCGCGGGCGGGGCCTTCCCGCGCGCCCGCGGCCGCCGGGCGGCGGAGCTCGAGCCCGCCGAGCTGCTGCTGCGCCGCGGCGCCATGGCCTCCCACGGCCCGCGTCGCCCGCCCGGCCGCGCTCGGCCCGGGCCGCGGCGCCGCGGGGGCCGCTCGAGCCACGAGGACGCCACCGATGGGGAGCCAGCCGCGGCCACCACCGGAGGGTTGAGCGGTCGGGCTCGGCATGTGGCAGCGGTCTGCGCGCCGCCGTGCCGGGAGCTCTCGCCCCGAGCGGCGAGGAGGGCCCGAGCAGTGCCGAGTCAAGCCGGAAGACCCGTCCTGCCCTTCCGGGCACGCGCTGCTCCAACGTGGGTGCCCAAGTACGTTCGGCGTTGCACCCGCCCGCCTGCCCGACGGAAAGAAAGAGGAGACACTGTGGAAGGTGGGGGAACCGAAAGGTACTGATACCGACGCTCCCCAGACCTCCCCTGCGGTGTCGTCTGACCAGCATTCCGAGGCGCACCCGGCGGTGGCGCCGAGGGCCTCCCAGGCGGCCCCCGAGAAGGGGAACACGAGGGAACACGCACGCACGCACGCACGCACGCACACACAGACACACATACACACACACACACACACGAACACACACACACACACACACACACACACACACACTTCTTTTTGTTTGGCGTCGCGGCCCCGCGCGCAACGACAGGGCGTAGAAAAATCAGAGAGGCGGGCGCGCGCGCGCGCGCGTCTGGACGGCCGAGCCCTCAAGCCGCTTGGAACCAAGCAGCGCCGGACACAAACACACACACACACACACGAACACATACGCAAGCACACACACACACGAACACATACGCAGGCACACATCCCAGGACCCGCCATATTTTGTCATGATCCCTGGAGCTTCGTCTTTCCCCGCGTTGATCATACTTTCCCATCTTGTCCTGGGAATCGACGTCTACAGTCGGACCTAGGCCAGAAGAGCATCCCTCAAGAACATGAGACCCTCTGTCGCCCGCACCAAGGTGCACAAGAACATCGAATGGCACCCTCCCCAGGATGCACAGTAACATCAAACAAACGCGAAGGACTCTAGGGTACCCCCCCAAGGCGCACACGAGAACATCCAACAAGCACGAAGAACACCAGGATGCTCTCCCCGAACCGACCTCGACCTTCTACCTACCTCGGTCCGACTGCACCTGTGTCTATGTATTCTGCCCCCCCCCTGATGGAGGATCGGCGCTCCGGCATCCGACCCTGGGGATCTGCGGTGTCGGGGCAGCCCTCCCGAATCGCTCTGGACGGCCTGGGAGGAGACGAGGACTGGCCAGAGGGGCCCCGCCCCCGCTAGGGCGCACGCCGACACGGAGCAGGAGCCCGAAGGACCTGGCGTTCTGTCGGGCGTGTCCCCCTGCAAGGGGATTTTCCACAAAAGAATACCCCAAACATACTCCCAAAATGCTTGAAAATAGTCCAGGAAATAGTCCCCAGACGATTTTTTGACTACTTTTGAACATTCCCCCTGTAGAGGGACAGGCCTGATTTAAACCTGGCGCGATCAGGCGCCAGGCCCACGGAGCGGGCAAAGAGGCACCCCCGAGACACGCCTCCGGTGCCGCCCGCTCCGGCGACGGCGCGCGAGCCGCTGCCGCGCGGAGGCTGGGCCCGCCCTTTGCTCCGCGCGCGCCCGGAGCCACATGCCTGCACTGCCACGAAAGGCGAGCGCGAGGCAGCCCATGATGTCGGAGCGCACTCCCCTCGCTGCCCCCCTGTCTTCGTCGGCCCTCTTCGCCGCTGCCCCGGCCCTCCCCAGGCTTAGGTCGGGCATGTCTCCCTACAGGCGGATTTCGGTGGAAAACTTAACGAAGTAGCAAAATAATCAATCAAAACATATTCAAAAGAGTAGCAAATATCGTCCCCAGACTATGTGTGTTCTATGTTTGAATATCCTTCCTGTAGACGGACACGCCCGACGTGACCCTGGGCATGTGCCCCTCGCCACCACCGCGCGGACTGGTGCGAGAAGAGCGTGTGCCTCGAATGCTCGCCCGTCCTGCTCTTTCCCAGCGGGTCTCCTCCTCCTCCTCCAGCTCCTCCAGCTCCTCCAGCTCCTCCAGCTCCTCCTCCTCCTCCTCCTCCTCCTCCTCCTCCTCCTCCTCCTCCTCCTCCTCCTCCTCCTCCCCCTCCCCCTGCCTCCCCCCCCTTGATCCTCCTGCCTCCCCGATTGCTGCCTGCTCCTCCCCCGAACGATATCGCGCCCCTTCGGACTGACCGGCACCGACTGCGACGCTGCAAATTACGCGCCCGCGCGGCGCTCGCGCCGCGGAGCCCGCCGCGGATACCGTCAGGGTGCCCGCTAGGCCTCCGCGGGATCGGCGAAGGCGTCCAGCGGCCGCCGCACGCCGCGGGCCTGCTCCGCGGCCTCCTGCTCGGCCTCGCGCTGGAGCACGTACGCCAGGGGCGCCTCGTGCAGCGGGCCCTCGCCGGGTGCGTCCTCCGCGGCCTCGCCGAAGAGGCACACGTTCTCCCCGCGCACGAGCATCGTGCCGAGGTAGACGTCCGCATACAGCTTTTCCTCGAGGAGGATGTGGCGCTCCACGGTGTGCTCCACCAGCAGGTTCGCGAACTGGTCGAAGCTCCTCAGCCACCCGAAGAGCTTCCTGTCGTCTCGCAGGATGATGAGGAGGCGCTTGTTCACGCTGTCCTCCAGGTTGCTGGCCCACGGGGGCAGCTTCTTCCTCGCGTCTGAGGCTTCTTCAGCCTCTCCGTCAAATACCGCAGCTTCCATGCTTTGCCATGCTGCGCCTGCGCCGATGAATCGTTCACAGCTTGAGCCACAGCATGAGCCACAGTGTATACGGAACGCACAGGCCTGAGAGACATCTGTGGGCCGCATCGGGCCCCACACGCCCGCACAGTCGGCACGAAGAGCTGCCACACCTGCCAGCACGCCCCTGACGCACGCCACGCGTGCCCACATCGGTGGACAACAACATCACAACTTCCAGAGACGCGGGTCGGAATGATGGGGCAGGCTTCTCTGGGAGAGGATGCCCGACGCTCGCGCGGTACATGCTCTCAATGAGGAGAAGACCTGCCCATCGCAAGACCGTCCCCCCAGTGCAGTCCAGGCACGCACTTTCGGCTTCCAGTAGCGCTGCGCACTGCATTATAAGGTTTGCAAGCGTGGGTCAAGTACAAACAATAATTACGCTCTGGATGTGTGAGCTGTGGAATGCACTGCCCGTGGCCCAAACTACGTGGTGTAAGCGTGTAGACTTTGTGGTGCAAGGTGGGTGGTGTACATACGAATTGCGGTGCAAGCTATGTTGTGCAAGATGTGTGGCAGTCGTAAGTTGCATGATTATATGTCGTGAGATCTGTGTTGGGTAAGCGAGCCTGCTCTAAAGCTGACGATGTGGTCCACGTGGTGTGACTTGTGTCGTGCGGGCGTCACGAAACGAACAATGTTGTGTTAGCTGGGTTGCGTAAGCTAGGTGGTATAGGCTAGGTGGTGTAGGCAGTGCGGGGTCAGGTGTGTAAGCTGCTCGGTGCAACGCCGGGAACCCAGCCCCCCGACGTCATGATTTGCCAACTCCCTGAGGTCTGAACCGGTTCCCCAGGACTGGTTTTTCACCCCGCCTTGTTCTTTGACGGCCCCGAGGCCGGGCAAGGGCCCCCAGGGGCCGAAAATGGGGAACACCCCCCCGTCGTGACCATCTCGTTGCTCGATGGGTGCCCGGGAAGCGCCCGCGAAGCGCCCACGCACGGGCACGCCGAACAGCAACAAACGACCCCCCCCCCCCCCTACGAGCGTGCGGAGCGAGCACCCGCCCGGGCGCCCACGGCGGCGCACGGAGACGGCACGCGCCTACACCCCGCGGGGGAGAACGGCAGGAGCTCGCAGTCGGGGGGCGCGAGGGGGACGGGCGGGAAGGAGGAGGAGGAGGAGGAGGAGGAGGAGGAGGAGGAGGAACACCAGTGTAAACCCAAAGAGTCATCATCGATGTTGGAATTACCCCCCCCTTCCAAGCTCCCTCCCAATAGGCCCCAACAGCGGTCACTTCCATTGAGGGAACTGCTTCGTTGGAAGACAACCGCTTGAATATCCTGAAGCATGCCAAAATATTTGTCTCGGGATTTCAACGCCACGCATCAACCTGCCAGGAGTTACTAGAGGTGCCCCCAGGAGGAAGTGCCCTCAGGATCGGGGGCCTTCGGGGAGAGAGTGGAGCCAAGAACCGGGATCGGATAAAGACTGGGTCTTCGCAAATTGCGTTGCTCAAATCACCCCCCCGCGGAGCAGCCGGGCGGCCGCTCGAACGAACGGTCGCACGCGGCGCCCCCCCACCCCAGAGCGCCAACCCACGCGACAACCCCTGCGAAGGCCCCCGTGCAGAGACCTCGCAAAGCAGTCACCCGGCAAAAAACATGTAAAGACCATAACCTTCAGAAGACGTTACACATACCACGCCGTACCTTGATAGAGACCCTTCGATGCGTCGCAAGTCCCTACAGCTGGACCCGCGATGCCTTGCCACTGCCCCTCAATATCTCCAGCACCCAGCCCTCTGGGTGTAGAACGTTTGGAGAATCCCGTCTTCGCTGGGGGGCCCTCCTCCCGAATCTTCTGGGAGGCCCCAGGGGGGGCCCAAAGACCAACCCGAGAGGGCGCCGAGAGAGGCCGCAGAGGGCCGGAGAGAGCCTCAAGAGCGGCCCAAGGGGGCTCCGAGAGGAACGCATGACTTATCGCGCCAGACTCCGTCCGGCGAAGTTTGGCGCGATGTGTGCTAATGCCCACTGGGAGCTTAATTTGGGCCCTCTCCAGGCCCTCGTGGGCCCCTCTCTGAAATTTCCGGGACTTCCTCGGGAACCCCCTGGCCGCGTGAAATCGTCGGGGTGCAGGCCCCAACGATATCATAGCAACAGGCTGTCGTGTGAAATCGTTGGAGCCTGAGCCCCAAAGATATCGCGCGGCCTAGGAAAGGCTTACACGGGGTCCCCAAGGGGGGCCCACGAGAGCTCCCGGAACCATCTTAGGACCTTTGCACGGTCCTCTGGGGACTCTCCTGGGGCTCTTGGCGACGACTAAACCGGAGCTCTTTTTCCATTCCCCCAGTCCACATCCCTTTTTCCACGGGCAACGGCTGCCCCCCTTCTTTGTTTCACTGCACGCTGCTGCGCTTCCCTGATCACGGCGATTCGCCTGGGCATCTGCTCTGAACGGGGCGGCGGGGATGCGCGAAACGGCAAGAATTCAAGGACTGCCGCAAAGCATTGCCGTAGCGAACGAGGGCGCTGCGAGTGGGCACCCGGCAACCCCGGACCTTGGCCTGATCATCATACTTTGGCCTCCTCGCAGCTCAACCCTCGACGGCGTCGCGACGACGCTCGCGCACGGCCTGACTGATGGATGGCCTCCGCGGCCCGCCACCCGGCAGCAACCCGGGCAGCGGGAACTGCGGTGCCCTCCGGGAGCTCGCCCGCCCACCCCCGGGAATCCTGCGGAGGGGCCCGAACGACCCCACAGCGCGATTACTGGCCGACTATACCCTGCCATGCCCCCGAACTGTGGAAGGCTCCAGGAGACCGGCCCTCGGCGACTGCGCCGTGGTTGGGTTTGCATCGCAATCCCCTCGTGTCATTGCTGCACTTCCCCGAGTAGTTTGACGAGGCGATTTTGAAAATGGCGCGATTAAACGGATCTTACTTTGACGAGGTTGAAACGGGATAAAACGACGTTTGACAGACTTTGACGAGACTTGAGGCGACCGATTTTTGTCGAGACATCCTCGCAAAAGTTTAACGAGACTTTGGAAAGTGCCCTCGGGAAGGGAAACTTCCTTTGACGACGGCAACCCTGTGCAAATCTTGAAACGAAGATTCGTCTAATCACGTCCTCGTCATACTTAGTCTCGTCAAACTGGGGGGGCGGGGAAAAGAGACATCGCAGACTGTTCGGGGGATTGCGTTGCGACCCGAATGCGCCGCGGCCGCCGAAGGGGCCACTGCCTGGCACGTTCCTCCGAGCTCCTCCGGACTCCTCCGAGATCCCCACCCCAGGGGCCCGGAGCGGCCCCTGGGCTTCTGTGGAAATCACCCTCCGAACCAATGATTTTTCAGAGTAGGGGGTGTCTCGGGGCCCGTGTGGGCCCCTCCGAGGGCCCTGGCAAAAGGGCCCAAGAATGCCCCGAGAGGGCTCCCAGAGGCCCCCCCAAGGGGGCCTGAAAAACAGCCAAGGGGGCATCAAAAACGGTCACGCAAGACAGGCTTCGCGTGACCGCGCTGGGGGTCCTCTTGAAACCGCCTTGGGGCCCTGAGCTGTTTCGGTGCCCCCTTTGGGCCCTTGGGGCCCTCAGACGGTTCCAAGGGGGCCCCGAAACCGCCCCAAAAGGACCCCAAGAGCGGTCTCACGCGAAGCCTTTCTGGCGTGACCGATCTTGGGGCCTTCACGGGGCCCTCTTGGATCTGTCTCGGGGCGCTATTGGAGCCGTCTTGGGGCTCCCTCGGGCCCTTCCGAGAACCTTCGGACGACTCCAAGAGGGCCCCGAGACAGCTCCAAGAGGGCCCCCCGAGCGGTCACTGAGGGGACCGAACGATTCACCCACGGCGTGGCCCACCCTCAACCCACTCGCGACCCAGCGGCGCCGCAAACCCCCGAGATCCACCTGCGCCGCGACCCGCCCGCGCCGCGACCCACCCGAGGCCGCGACCAAACCGCGAGGACGACGACAACAGTAACAATAACAAGCAGAATCCCCACCACCGTGGATCCCCACTTCAGCCACGCACCCAGGGACACTGCAAGACCGTTCGGCCCCCTCACTCTGATTTACTTCGCCACGCTGTGAAGAATTCCCCCACGGACAAAACCACCCGTGCCCTCATGCGCGAACGAACGCTCGCTAAACGAGATCCTAGAATGTAGTTCCGCGCCCGCGGCCGACGCAGAAATGGCGTCGGCGAGTGTCTGGGCTTGCCGCAAAGCGCCTGTTGGTGTCCATGGGCATGCCTGCGAACTTGCCCCACCCCCCTGGCCAAACGCGCCGCTGACATTCTCGATGCTTCGCGATGTCTGGACGACGGCGGACGATATGACAGGGTGGCCCCTTTCAAGAATGCGTTCTTACCTGGGGCCTGAAAAGAAGCGCCCCTGGAAAACACAAAGCGAGCATCTCGCGCAAAGACTCTAGCATCATGCACGTCCGGGACGGACCCCTGCCCGTCGCTTAAACGCAGAGGCGCTGATCTGAACGTAAGGCGCGAGGACATACCTGGCGCCCCTGGGGGCACCTCGGCCCATGGGGCACCTCTAGCAACACCCGAACCTAACATCTGCGTTATGGCGATCCGGAATCGTGCCATAACGCCATATTCCGCATTCCAACACCGCGAATCAACATAATTGTTGCACCCGCATGATCCTGAATCCTGCCAAAAGACAGATTTTGGTACGTTGACCATGGGAATCCGTGAACCTCTTGCAATTGTTTAAACAAATGAGCGCGGCGCTGAGGCGAGAGCCACATTTTTATTATCCCAGTGCGACCCTACCTAGGAGTTGGAGCCCCGAGGAAAGCAGCATTAGTAGTAACACTAAAGCTAAGCTAAAGCTAAGGAAAAGCTAAGCTAAAGCTAAGCTAAGGCTAAGCTAACGCTAAGCTAAAGCTAAGATAAAGCTAAGCTAAAGCTAAGCTAAAGCTAAGCTAAAGCTAAGCTAAAGCTAATCTAAAGCTAAGCTAAAGCTAAGCTAAAGCTAAGCTAACACTAAGCTAACGCTAAGCTAGAGCTGCGCTAAAGCTAAGCTAGAGCTAAGCTGAAGCTAAGCTAAAGCTAAGCTGAAACCAAGCTAAAGCTGAGCTGAAGCTAAGCTAGAGCTAAGCTGAAGCTAAGCTGAAGCTAAGCTGACGCTAAGCTAGAGCTAAGCTGAAGCTAAGCTGAAGCTAAGCTGAAGCTAAGCTGAAGCTAAGCTAAAGCTAAGCTGAAACCAAGCTAAAGCTGAGCTGAAGCTAAGCTACAGCTAAGCTAACGCTAAGCTAGAGCTAAGCTAAAGCT